TTGATAATCTGAAGTGGGCCATTAATCCTGTAGTGCAACACAAGTAACATGGGTTACAGCAGCGGCGTCGGGGTGTTTTAGGGACATGGAGGGAGGCTTAGCCCCATATAATTTATATTTAAGGTAATAATGGCTAGTTGTGTGGTTATTTATTCAAATTAAACTTATATTCAAGTCACAATATACTGAATTTGACGGAATTACAAAGTAAAAAGTTTAAATTAACGTAATAAATGAGCATAACATAATTTGAAGAGCTTTAGGATATTTTGAATATAGGCCTAAAATAGGCCAAATATGCCACCGGGTTACTGTTCCCTCCACTGATAGCGCAATGCGAATATAACGAACTGGAACTCTTTTAGTCACATAATTAGAAAATGTCCATTTAATGGCATGTATCTTTTGTGTTAAATTAGGTATTGACAACACGAGTTGTTGATAAATATTCATCAACAACTCCTTCAAATGTCAACAATTTGTCTTTCGCATCTTCAACATTCATATTTATCAATAATTATTGGTCTTAGCTATTGACTAACAAATGACAGCTTTAAAACATTCATCAAACTGCGTTTCTAATCAAGTTAGTCGAAATAAATATTTTTTTGTGCAAGAAATGAAACTTTGAACCGAAACTAAAAATTTACTCGACAACATTGAGACGACAAAAGTAATTCGATGTTTCTGTTCGTAGTAGTAACAGTATCAGTAGTATTACTGTTAATTAGTAAGTAAAGCTGTTCTGTTATTAATTCGCTATTCTGTTCAATGAATAATAGCAGCGAGCACGCAATCCATCGCATCGTGTAAACCTATGAACAAATGTTCAGTGGTTACAGTTCAGAGTACCAAGATTGGAGCAGAGAGGCGCGGGTTCGATCCCAGCTCTGTGCGTCAGTTTCTGATCAGAATCGGCGAGGAGGCCGGGCGGGGAAGCACAGCAGAATTGAAGCAGTGAGTTGCGAGTTCGAGACCGCAAAATGCTGTGAATGTTCTGCGATGTTAAGAATCGGCAACAGGCCTACGGCCTAATAAACGCTGAAACCGCTATTATTATTATTATTATTATTATTATTATTATTATTATTATTATTATTATTATTATTATTATTATTATTATTATTATTATTATTATTATTATTATTATTATTATTATAACATCGTTATTAAATGAACAAAAAACCGACATTGGCATTGTAATTCGCTAAGCATTCAGTGGCCATGGGGTAAAGTATACGATTATTAGGTATGTGGTCTCCGTTAAGCCGTGGTCGAGAGCGGACGCTCGTGCTCGTGGTCCCAAATTTCTAAAATTTTAACTTTTTACTGTGCCGTTTTCGGAACTATTTTCGCATTTTTTTATGATCCGTGCCAGAGAATAACCGAATTTCAGTTCAGTTCAGTGAAGTCAGTAAAAGAGAGTGCAAATTGAATGAACAAGCCAAACAAGTGAAAGTGTTTTCATTAAATAACGCGGACTTGTAGAGTCAGCGAGGGTTGCCGCAAGGGTAACGCCCACGCCCTGGCCCACGCGGGACAATAAGCCTTTGTTCTCGCGCCTACCTCTTCCTAGCCGAGCTCTTCCCATCAACACCTAAGCCGCTGAGATCGCCGCTCTCTGAAAGCCACTTGCTCTCAAGTCTGTAACAATTTTGAACAATCAAACAATTTGTACAATTTTAACTCAACTTGATTTCGGTTTTTTAACTTGCATTTCAAGATGGCTGGTCAGAGAGGAAAAAGATTAATTGAGAAGGCTTCCAGTCCTGTTAAACCGAATGCGAAGATCAAATCGCAAAATGAGCGAGAGGAAATTTGTAAATTTTGCAAGCTGGTTTCGATTAACGTCAATGACGCTACAGTGGCCTGTGATCGTTGCGGGGATATCGTCTGTAACAATTGTG